TTTACGTATATCTTTCTCGAGCCACACATGCACAGCAAACCACAGCTTTGAAGTCTCATTCGTGCTTTGAACTGGTATGGGTGTGTAAGAGTTATAGCAACATAGCATTTATACGGACCCAGGGTAGCTACAATTCTGTTCCCAGGTATCGCGCGCATGAGGCTTCAAAGCTGTGGTTTTCAAGCCAAATTCAAGGTGGCCTGAGACCAGGGTTTGCTGCCCTAAAACACTCTGTTCAGGCCACCTTGAAAATGAAGGTCTGCGAAGCGAGAGCAAAGGACTTTCCACCTCCTCGCTTCCCAGTCTTCCCAGGGTTCATATAGGGAGCCAGGTTTTCAGAATCTTCTGGATTTGAGCTGTTCCAGTTCCTATTGAAGGGTATATGTTCTCGTTGGCGAGTGCGTCACCACCCGCTCCAAAAGCATCAAAGCATCACCTTCCAGAGTTTACGTATATCTTTCTCGAGCCACACACGCACAGCAAACCACAGCTATGAAGTCTCATTCGTGCTTTGAACTGGTATAGGCAAAGGTGTGTAAGAGGTATAGCAACATAGCATTCATACGGACCCACGGTAGCTACAATTCTGTTCCCAGGTATCGCGCGCATGAGGCTTCAAAGCTGTGGATTGCTGTGCGTGTGTAGAGGTTATCGAGCGGTTGACGGAAAGGGAACTTGAAGTACTATACCTGGTAGCTGCACTATAGCTACCCTGGGTCTCAAAACCTGGCAAGGTGCCAACTACACCTTTCCATTCAGATGATGCAAATGATGCAAATTGCATTTCTTGCATCACCACCCCTCAAAAATCACCTCCAACACAACCTCAAAAAACATTCCCTCGACGCACCCTCCTCCCCCAGCATGTGCCGAGTTTACGTGTACCTTTTGCGGGCCACCCCCCCCAGACCCCCTAACTACTCACTTCGTTCGCCAAACACAACTCCGCTGGCGCCTTCTACGAAGGCTGGCTTTCGTAAAATCAACAAAACTACTAGGACGTAAGTTTTCCAACGTCCTAGTAGATTTAGGGCGCCAAGTTGTCCTCCAGAGGGGTGCCCAGGCCACCTGGTACCCTTCTCATAAGAGAAAATCACAAAACTTACAAATTCTATCAGATTTTCAGGCACCCTTCTCATCATGGCGATCATCCATCCATGGAAGCGATTTAACATTACCATGTCATTGAGGCTATACAAACAACATGAACATCATCATCAAGAATGTAAAGAGCAAATTGTCAGACGTCATGAAAAACACACAACAAGAGTAGCAAGGACACTTCAAGGCAGTAAGTGTTTCCTCAAATATGTTTCTTGGATCTTGGATGTCCTGTTTACAGTATCTTGTATAAACGTTGTTTGCATCGGGAACCCCTGCGTACAGGTTCAGGAACAAAAAGCTATTAAGTTAATAAGTCACAAAAAGGCATCAACAAATGTCTGGACAAAGAGAAAACAGAACTCAACATCTTGAGTTTTTGACATGCCTTGTGGGGGCACGCTCCAGATTGTGCACCTGTTTTGGCCCCAGGACACCCTGCCGAAAAACAATCAAAAGGGCGAGAAGATCTCCGCCACAAAACAAACATATTAGAAAAAAGAAAACAATCTAAAGTGGACTGTGGTTACATACATACATACATACATACATACATACATACATACACATACATACGGTTACATACGTCACTGTATATAAATCTAGGAACATATTTTGTTTATCATCCCCGTTGCTATTCGGTAGCAGTGAGGTCAGCACACCCGATGTTAGAACTTGGTCAACTGAGAGCCGTTTACTGTGTGATATCGCTTTTCCGAGCCACACATGAAACATCATGAAACACTAACCCAACAGACCTTTCAAAGTACAAGACCACCAAACCAATGCAAGAAAAGAAACATGTTTCGATTTGTCAGCCGCTTATCACGCATCATAGTTGTTTCTGTGGAGCCACTGGTCAATATAAATTGTTGGTTTGGGAAAGTTCTCTTGGCATGCTGTTTTAATAAAAACCTTTTTTTTGAGGGGGGAAGACAGGGGGAACTTTGGTCCAATCCCTACCTGTTGCTAATGAGCCACACTCAGTCATAGCTTGGCAACTTCCCAAGCATCCCAAACTGATCAATAAACTCCTCAAACATGTCTAAGTTTATTGGTTTCTGCTGTTTGCAAATCTTATTCAAAAGTTATGTCGGAAATTTTGTTGCTGTTCAAAACCATCAGTAGTCACCTAGCGTACTCGTCGGACTGTTCTGAAACAAGGGTGTGAAAGAGGGGTGAACAAAAGTTTAAGCTTTGTGCCACGATGCGCAATGCAAAATAATTGACTGTATCAGACTTCTTGAGGGATTGGCATCTCAAGCAGTGGGTAGTGGTGGGTGGTTTCATTTTGAGGGGCTCTTTACGATACAACTTTTGAGGGGCTCACACTACTCACCAAACAAAAACACAAATCAGTACGACACAAAAAACAAATGCTCTGTCCACCAGAAGCCATCCAAAGGCGAGGCAAAAGCATAACATAAGCAGGACACAGCAAACACCAAAGCAAGCAAAAGCAAAAGCAAAATCGGAAACAAAGCAAATGCAACAGCCGCTAAAGCAAAAGCAAACGCAAAGGCAAAAGCAAAAGCAGCAGGAGCAAAAGCAGAAGCAGAAGCAAAAGCAGAAAAGTACTGGAAAAATAAACAACACCGTTCCAACCAAAAGTCTGGTTCCCCTATTTTGTCTCCCTAGCCACCTGCCTCACAGTAGTGCACAGTCACCATGTCTTTGCTCAGGCAGCACACGGCGCAGTACTCCGTTGATCCCGCCGCGCCCGACGTCGACTCAGACACGGCCCGCAGCCCCTGCAGATCGGCGTACTTTGCGCGGAGCGCTGCTTCAGCGGCTGGCGAGATGGAGGCGACGGACCAGGACATGGCGGAAATGGCAGGCGATTCGGATGACTAAAGCGGCGAAAACCAAATCTGAGCCGTGATTCATTTCGGATCTGGAATGTTCGAACCATGTTCTTCAAATGATTTCCATTGCTGGTCCCAGTGTCCCACATGCGTCGGTACCGCAGGCGGCACCGAGGTACGGTCCCCGTTCTCGGAGTGGACGAGAAGGGCCTGGGCTACCCTGCTGTGTTCCAAGGGCGGGCCCAGTGGCAAGTGACCTCAAAACGGCAGCGTAGACCATCAGCTCAAAGGCCCAAAAATGGGCGGACCCTGCATGAATCTGAAACGTAACGTAACGTATGTCGTCACTCTACGTCAAGTAGAGTCAAGTCATTTTCAAACTTGAGAGGAGGGAGACACGAAAGGTAGGACAGCGGGAAGAGAAGAGAACGCGAGAGGCAGGAACAAAAATGCAATGTTCGACATGGTGATTTATCCCCTCGGAGGCGACCTTTCGTAAATATATGTTCATATGCACTCTAAATGTTCAAACATATGCTCTCGAAATGTTCAAAAAGGTTCTGAGGAAAACAAACTTGCCCCATGGCTCAGATCATCGGTGAGCATTGAATCGGAACATCATAGGATTTGAACTATCCTGAAACCATAAGAGGCTCACGAAGACGCTCCCCAGGAGAGAATTGACGTGCTTCACAAAACAAATTCTAGGTATGTATCCCCTCGGGGAACACCTTTCGTGATTAGAATTTCATATTCACTCTTTCTAAATGTTCAAGAGGGTTTCAACTATCCTGAAATCATGAGAGGCTCACGAAGACGTTCTCCAGGAGAGAATTGATTTTAGAGGGGGGGAGGGGGGGGGGGTCTGAATTGAGCGATCAATTATTAGACCCGGACGTCCCAACACTTGCTTCGCAAGACAAACTCAAGGTATCCCCTAAAGGGCTACCTTTCGTGAAATGCATCATATTATTCATCCTTTTGTACATCCACTGGGCTAACTGGGCCAGCCTTTTGCATACTGAGCCACTGCTGAATGGCCAAGTGCTGAGGTCTGCACTGTCGCGCACACGTCCCGCAGACGGCGGTCTCGACCTCAGTCGGGAGCGGCCCTGGATTTCAGCTTGGTCGCCTCAAATCAGAGTTGGGAACCACAGAGTGCATCCACATGTTCGCTTCTGAACTGATTCACTTTGTTCTCACGTGAGGAACATGATATAGATTGATATAGTCTATTCATGAAAATCGAGGCTCACCGGGCTTTGCAATTTTTCCCTCTCCGGGGTCACCACTCCACAACCCTCGGGTTCCAGCGCTCTGGGACCAAAGTCAGGCTTGGGCCTCAGGTGGCACAAGTCCCGCAAGGAAACCTGGACTACTGCAGCGGAGGTCCAAAAGGTATGAGAGAGTGAAAGGCTACAAATTTGGCAGGCATTTGTCAGAGCACACCCTTCCCGGACTGTTGACGGAAAAAGCGGAAAAATGCGAGGCAGCTGGACATGGAGAACATGCCACTGCTTCTCCACCCTGAGAGGCTGTCAATAGTGCCAGTGCTTCCATGTGCTTCCCAGACTTGGAGGGTGGTGAAACGGATACATAATGACGTTTATAAACTGAATGCAGTATATATAAGTACGTATCCTGAGGTACTCTTCTCTATCCCTCCTTTTTGGGGGTCAAATCACCACTGTTAGTACTACTTGTTTGCAGGCCGACCCCTCGTTCCACCGCCGTCGGATTCCAACCAGAAGTCCCCGGCACTGGTGGGGAGGGGCGGCTGTTGATGCGCGGGCGACCCAGAACCTCGGAGGAGATTCTCCTGAATTTGGAGAAGGTATTGGTATATGAGTTGTGTATATATAAGTATCTTAAAACACTGACTGCATGCTGTGAAACTCTGACTTCTGTTGCAATTTTCACTTGAAGAATCATCCAAAGAGGAAGCAACTACATCTATGATCATCGATAATTCCTTTTATCGGACCCTTGTCCAGTCCCTAGAGATGTTCTTTCTATTTTCTGGTTGCATCTTTATGCATCTTTTGGATGCTCGGTGTCAAACTGCAAACAGAATCAGGAGGGCAATCTAGAATCACTCCCCTTGATTAAGGGGAGGGGCGCAGGCCAAGAAGATGTGACGGCACTGTGCACTCTACATTCTACATGCTGAGAGCATTGGACAGCTTCAACAAATGTGATTGATTAGCAACATGCCCAATAGCTGAAATCAACTGAAATTCACCTACAGCCAGCCATGGCAGTGGCCTCCCAGTGGTACTCCAAAGCGATCAGCAAGCCTCCACTGTTTACCCACTCCCGTCCAGCCAGGACGATGCAGGCTGACGCAGGCTTCAGCCCAAGCCGCTACTCTGAGTTGCTCAAAACATTGAACAAACGGCGGCAAGCCCTGGACACTTTCAGCTCCAACACATGCTCAGTATCAAAAGGACCTGGTTAAGCTACCGCTGGCTAGCCCAACCCTCCGTGAAGGCATACACCGCCCGGCTCTTCGTCGCGGTCATCTGCGCAGCTCACCTCTTCGCACAATGACAAGGGGGCATGAAGAAAGCAGGCCGGCCATTTACAAGGCGCCCTTGATGAAGCCCATCATACGTACTTGCTTTGTCCATTTAAGTGTCCATTTAATGTTCACTTCTTCTTCCTTGGATCTGGGCATGTGAAGTCTTCAGCAAGAATGCCTTTGACCAAAAAGGGGCGCTACAAGCTGCTACAAAAAGAAAAATCAAATGAACCCAACTCCTCCTCAACAATTTTGGCACAAACTTTTTGGGATAGCACACTTATTAGACCTGGAATGCCAACAACATCCGCTCACATCATGTGCCAAGCTTCCCACCCTTGTCATTGTACTCATCCCTCCGCACACAAGTCACTACCTTGCCCACCATCATCACAAAGTTGGATTCCAGAAACGCCACGCGTGACAGCTTGCTGCAAGGCGATGTATAGGTGTCACAGAAGAAAGGCCTCCAACAGGTGGTTGAGTTTGATTGGTAACACATGAAGTAATGTTGACTTCTGATCAAAATATTGACTGTAAAAATAATGCTATTTATATAAATGTGTTCAAACACAAATTGTAAATGGCCCCCAAATAATACTAACTTTTTCTGGACCATGCTTTTCAGCTGATTCCAGACCTTGATTCATCCAAACTGATTCTGAGCTTTTAGCTGGTTCCAAAACCTGATTCTTTTGGTGGTTTCCTTTATAGTTCCTTTAGGTTTCCTTTTGGTTGAAAAGTTTTTGCTTTATTGAAGGCAATCCTTTCTGGATTTCTGATTTGGCTGCTGCATTTTCCTTTTAAACTTGCTTATTTAGATTTCTGTGGGCATTGCTATTGGTAACCTGAAATCAACCCACAAAGACAACCCCCCACAAGCAGCCCAAACCTTCACCTCAAATAATACTAAAAAGTCCACTGGCTGGTTCTTTTGGTGGTTTCCTTTACAAGTCCTTTATATAGATGTCCTTTTGGTTCAAAGGCTTTAGCTTTATTGAGGGCTATGATTGTTTAGGTTCAGCCCCTTTACAATTCCTTCAGCACTACTTACATTGATTGCTTTCATGTCCTTTCCTTTCCTTTTATGTTCCTTTCATGTCGTTTCCTTTCATTGTCCTTTCAATGTCCTTTTCGTTGTCCTTTCAATTTCCTTTTAGTGTCCTTTCACTTCATTTCCGGTCCTTTCCTGTATATAATGGCATTTCATTTCCTGTTCTTTCCTTTCATTTCCAATTCAAAACAATTTCTTTTTCGGTATGTTTCTAGATTTCACATTATTTGGGGCCCGCATTTGATCAGATCAAGGCGGGGGTTATTATTCAGAGGTGGACATTATGCCAGATTTGCCTCAGATGTAATCTGATTTGATGAGCTGATTAGCTGATGATGGGTTTCCCAACACTGTTTCGTCAAAAAGGCACACATCGTGCTTCTCGCGCACACATCGTCAGTCAAAAGATCCGAACATCGACCCCCGCATCCGACCGCTCGATCGACCGAGCTCGGCCTCAGGGGCTGAAAGGTGCAAAGTGCCATGTCATGTGGTCGAAGTTCCTGGGGCTTTTCCACCTGAGGAACCGTCGGATACGTTCCACGGAACGAAAGTTCGTTCCGCTGCGACCACTCGGACCGTTCCACAGATCTCTGCGGCCTGGAACTGCGCGCCAGAAAAAACAGTTGTTCGGCCAAAAGCGGCCAGGTATGACATGTCCATCTGTCAAAGTATGTGTATATATGCTGATGTACTATGATGATCTATGATGTACTTTGGCTCTTGTACGGGAGAAGCACGTTTCAAGGAGTTGGAGTTATGACGTGATTGAACAAATTGAGCTCTGAAGATTGAATTGCGAACTCGCTACGGGCCGCTAGGTGGGGCACAGCGCTGGTTTCACTATGCTCGTCTTCACTCTCAGCTCATATTTCTGAGGGTGGAGCCCCGCCTTTTGGCCTCCCGTCTGCTTATTCATCTTCCAAAGGATCTCCACTAAACGACAAGGAGCACGACTGCACTTTCCACAAGCCAACGACACGTTGCCCAAGCGGATGGGCAGCGGGCCAGTTAAGCCCACCTGGGTTGGACTCGAGAAAGCGTTTAACCACAAGAAGCTGATTATGATTAGCTATCGATGCTTGTCATGTCTGTGGGTCCGACAGCGTCTGAGCAGGTCTGACCCACAAAAAGTATTCAGCCATGGCCACTTGCGCTTGAAAGAGCATAAGTGGAGCTGGCATCTCAGAGACTTTCATCACCACTTGGCCTCGTTCTGGACTGGGGAAGAAGGCATTCGAGACACAAAGACCCACCACATCACCCGCTTGGGCGCTCTCCAGCCATCTTCGATACATCTGAATGCCCAGCACGAGGCTTCCGGAACGTCCGAAGTCCCACTGGACGAGCCCCTGATGTCCCAGAAAGGCCACCCGATCACCTGGCCACGAAAACAACGCAATAGAACATGCAAAACGACACCGTCCTTGTGGTCTCTTTATAATTTATAATATTACAATATGTTGTACATACCTTTAATATTTTTTGCAGCCCGCCCTTGCTTAAGTAAGCGACTACTTAAGTAAGGGCTAAACAAGCTACTAGGTAACCTGCTACTAGCGAACGGACGCAGGATATCTCAGGCTCAGGCTTCTTCTCGTAACATGCGACCATCTGCGACCCCTCTCACTCTCTTTCTATGTAGATATACAGTGGATTGAGAGTAGATGGTACCCAATGTCGGTGGTTTATATGGATCCCCATCTGTCCAAGACATCTTGGGGTGTCAGTGCCATCAAACATCTGATGGCCCACTGTAAGATATATATATATATAATATAAGTATTAATATTGCATGTGTCACAACCTGTATTCAAACGGATGGACCTCATGCTGGTGCAAAACAGGAAAAACCGTGGATCCTTTGCCCCACGCCTGGCTTCAGGGTGCCTTGATCGATACGTCCCACGACCACTTGGCCACAGCCAGGGAGGTACCAAGAGTTCGATACCATCATGTGCATGGGCAGCAAGTTCTCTGGCTCTGGAGGGTGAAAAAGATGATGCAAAACATCATAAAGACTGTGAACATCAACCTCCAGGGCCAAGCTGAGCTGAAGGGCTCTGACAGCGACAACCAATTATATATAGCTACGTGGGGTGACTGATTTTCGAAGGATGTTCTGGAGGTCCCTAATGGTCTCCATCACTGTTAAAGCAAAATGGAAGTGGAACATGCATTCGATGATCTGGATTTGGGTCAAAACAAAGATTGGGAACTGACTAGAGCATGTGGGAGGTCAAGTTACATGGTCCTACATGGTATTGGCTCCAGGTTTTGACCCATCCCCAGTGGTTTCGTTGCAGCCCTCGTCCAAACACCAAACATGTTTTCTCCCTCCGACAGGTCCAGAAGCTCCATAGACTTGCTGCCCAGTCCACCAAGCAAAGGTGTTGGTGTCTCTGATGATGTTCGTGGCATTCCTCGCGGACACGGGCAAAATGGCCACCTTATCTTCAATGAAGTCTCTTTTCCATCCAGTATTCAGCAACATCAGCTTGGTGCGTTCGAGGATCTCCTCACTGATTCAGTGCTTGGGAGAACAGTGAGGAACACAAAAAAGGCATAAACAACCTTGGTTCTAGCCATTCAACATCCTCTCCCTACATTCGTGACCAACCCCAAACCAAATCAGTGAAACTCGAAGGTAAAGTGAATAATGATGGTCATGGAAGCAACATGCAACATGTATGAACATGTATTGAACATGTTTGAACCATAATAAAATGTGAAATCTACAAGATCCATCCAGGATGCGAATCAAAATGCTGAACCATCTCTTTCATTCTAGACTATTCTAGAATCATGCGCAACACTGCCCAGGCTGCCTAATGTAGCTCTCCTGGAAACGCTTGGGTTGCTCCGGTACCGGAACCAGTTCCATCTTATTCACCAGGACGCACAACTGGGTCACCCCAAGCAGGTGAAGCAGTCTGCTGTGCTGACCTCATGAGGCTCAAGTTGCGCGCTGGGTCAAACGGTGCCCAGCCTGTTGGGCATTGAAAGGAAGAGTAGCAGCTGGTCTTCAGGATTTTTGCCAAGGACTTCAATAGGTGTAGTCTGGCTGCCTTTATTGATGGGATCTTGTGCGTGTTGATTGAGGGCGTTTCTCGAAATCACTGAAAAGGGAAGGCCGTGGCAACCCCACGAAGGCATGGTACTACAGAAAGGGGTCAAAGGCAGTCTTCCAGCATGTCTTCAGTGTGGGAAGCCAGCATGTCTTCGAAGCAAGCTTAGGTTTTATACGTGTAGTTCGACTGAAACATACTGAAACAAATGCTAAAGTTGATCCTACATCGAAAGACTCGGGCAAATTTAGCCGAGGCGCGCGATCCACCCTCCGGCTGCCCACCATAGCCATTGGCCTTGCAGATCGACCAAGGGAACCTCGGCAAAAGTCAAGAGGGAACTTGGCACGTCAACTTCGAAGCCATAAGTAAGCCATCGACCAGTAAAAAACAAGCAATCGACCTTGTTCTGCAGTTGAGGGCTGACTCCACCGGCTTTTCTGATTCACCGTGAAGGTGACAAACCATTTGGCCCCGACCACCCGCCCCCACAATCCGAATCGGGAGCAGTCACGAGGAGGAGAAGAAGGTCCTTTCCGAATCGCACGGAGGGAGGGCAAGCTGCCAAAGGCATGAGCCAGCAAGAGCAAAATATGTGTACAATGAGGGAACAAAGTGGGAAAAGTAAATCATCTGGCAATTGTAGAACAATAGAATGAAGGATTGGCAAGATTCACGCAAAGGGATATGAGCAAAGGAGCCATTCAGGAGACAAATTGGAGGCTGACTTCATCGGTCGACATCGGGTCGACGTCCGATGTATACCCGTTCGCCACTGACTGGCTGATGGCAGGTCGGAACAGAACCTCCGAAGGGAAAGGACCCCCTGCTGAATCGCAAGGCTGAAGAAACTGTACTAACAAACGAACTGCAACGAAACACTGCAGTCCTCAAACGCCTGAGACATGTCATGTTCCAAATGGTGGGATATCCATGGATTATGTATCCTACTGATTATCCTCTATCTGATTTCTTCATCTGATTTCTTCATATTTTTTCCATCTTGAACTACTTTCGCTCCCCCACTATCACACCGTTTCATTGCTAGCTCAGTGGCATCTCATCGGCCGGCACCAGTAGCACCGCACCATCGGCCTGCGCCAATCCCGCGACGGCGTTCCGCAGGAAGCGACGGCGGCCCGGGAGGTCGACCAGCCTCGGAAGGCCAAGCCGAGACGTGAGATATGACATGGCGAGACGTGAAACGAAACGATCTGCTTTGAGGAACATATATCATAATACAATTCATACAAAAATAGTAAATTACTTTACTTCGAGTGATCCCCACCTGGCATCTACCTGGCATACTGTCTGGCATACTATCTGGCATTTTGTCTGGCATACTATCTGTCATTCTATCTGGCATATCTTCTGGCATTCTATCTGGCATTTTATCTGGCATTCTATCTGGCACTCTATCTGGCATATTTTCTGGCATTCTATCTGGCAATGTGTCTAGCAATCTATCTGACACTCTTCTTGCAGCATTCTATCTGGCAATCTACCTGGCATTCTATCTGGCATTTTATCTGGCAAACTATCTGGTTGAGGTCCAGCGGTGCACACTGCGATCGGATCCTTCCGGTTGAGGTCCAGCGGTGCACACTGCGATCGGATCCTTGCGGTTGAGGCAGATTGGCGAAGAAGATTGGCGATGAAGATTGGCGAAGGAGGAAGGAAGGAGGAGGAAGAACAACTGTGATAAAATCTAACAACCCTCACCTGGCAGGTGGGGAAAAAATATCATCTCATCCCATCCGCAAAAGGAAAGTAGTACTATGTTTGACTTACTATACAAGTTATAGTACAGTTCTTAATGTATTCTTGCAGTGGGGAGGTTTTCGCAATTCTAAAGGCTGTGCACTTGAGGCAAATGTCGATTGTTTTCTTGACCGGGGGAAATCGAATCACCCAAAACATGTCCGTAAACACTCCATCTGCGGAATATTTACAGTACATGCACGTACGCGTCCCAAATGGAGTGTCTGCAGGTCTCGAGCTCCGTAGCCGCGTCACGTGTAGCCGCTATTGTCCACGGTGGCGGCCCACTGCTTTTGCTTGAATACCTGGTACACCGGCAGTGCAACCCTGTCACCCACCCATGCATCCACAAAGCATCGCAGAATATTGGGGAAGGAGTCGAGCTGGACCAAGGGAGGGAGCTAACTGTGTCACTATACTTATTGGACTTGAATTGCTACTAGGCTACAGCCATCTGCTCTGCAATCTTTCACGGGTGCTATGGCTGCCATGGCTACCACCAACCCCCCACGACACCACGACATTGCCCAGCTGCTACGGTGCAATGGATCTCGCGCTCTTCCTGCAGCACATCCAGCACTGAAGCGGGGTTGCTCGCGAAGGCCTCGCGGAAGCCGCGTTCCGTGCGCCTCGTCGGGTCGTTGGCCAAGAGTTGTGCGGCAGTGGTGGTCTTGCCCGAGCCCTCATGGCCACAAAGCGCCACTGAGAGGTGTGGCTTATCCATGTCATGGCTGAGCCAGGTAGATTGGCAATTAGCAAAAGTGGTGGCTTCGGAAATGTGAGGCCATCGTTCTGGAAGCTTCCTTAATTACCGCATTTTTCTGCAATTTCATCAATAGCCTTGACGACAAAACGGCACTCAAACGATGGATAAATTGCCAGCTCCATTGAGCTCTCATAGTGTGATGGCCCTTGCTGGCCATCCTCATTATGTCAGCCGATCCGTGGGACATTTGGCACCACCGGTTTTGGTGTGTGTGTGTGTGTCGAGGTGCTTTGAGCTGGCAAGGAAACATGTGGACTCGACCGAAATATCCTATGAATCTCTGAAGCTACGACCGCCCATGGTACATCCTGGCCCTAACTATTATCTAAAGCTACTATCCCGGAGATTGCAAACACCTAGCCAGCACGATGCCCTGCACGAGCAATAGGTTCCAAGTGCCAGGCCCTGGGAGGTTCAGTGGGTGGTCCATAGCCAGCCGACTTCACCTGCAAAAATGGTGTAATGTCTGCAATGTAGAGCTGGAGACGGTTCCATATTCAAAAGTAGGTGGAAAGACCAAAAGAGCATGTTTGAGAAGAAGTGCGCGTCGAAGTACATATGAAAACTTCTTGGACTCAAAATCCCAAACACAGGCATACACACAGTGACATACAGTGACGTATAAAAATTACATGATGTCTTGAGTCATTACATTCTCCAGTACCAAGAAACCTCCAGCCGAGTTCCTCTGTGCTTTTCTTGCCGGACATGTTGTCCCAGGGGCATCTTTGACCCCGAGGGAACCACCGTCGTGACTTCTTCTGAGCTGCGCAAGAGGTGTCAGGTTTGTAAAGGAAAGTGGTCTTGCAAGGGACCATGTTCCACTTCCATGTTAGTGAGTCAACATGCTATTTCGTGGCTGAGGGGCGGAGCGTGCTTCCGCGCATGTGTGTAATGAGTTCACCGCTGGGAACATCGACCAGCTTTGCAGTTTTCTTCGAGGGCGCTGCGGGCGTCCCAAAGAAAGCTGAAAACGGATAATGTTGGACGGAATGTCTCTGAGTGTGTGCGAACTAAAGTGCGCAAAAAGAAACACCACATGCATCCACCTGCCATGAAAATGCCATGTGCCTTCGGTGCCTTCGTTCCTTGTGACTAACTAACTTGGTCATCGTTGGGTGTGATGACATCATTGGGCTCTGTTCTTTCCACTTCGCTTCACTTGGTCATCGTTGGGTGTGATGACATGGCAGCTCTCATGGGTGAGACGGCGACTTGAAGAGCTCTCCTCGCTTGTACTTGATAATGTACCTGAGCACATGCGGGTAACGAGCAATTCTTTCGGACCACGAACAACTCCATGGGTTTGGCTGAGGCAGCATCCAGGTATATATTGGAGGTGTCCAGCTGATCTATCCAAGGACCATATAAATCAGCCAGGCCAGGCTTCAGAAACAGTGGTGCACAGACCACAGGCAAGGGCTGCAGGGGTCAGAACGTTCTCATAATCTATCGTGAGATGCCCAAAAAAGAACATAAAATTGAAATTGTTCAACAAACAGTGAACCCTTACAAGAACCACCACCCTAAGCTCAAAATCCATCAAACTCCACCACCTGAAAAGATTGAGAATCTCAAATTCAGGTTGGCTGGAGACCTGCTCTCTCCGGAAAGGACCATGAGTCAAATTGAGGATCGAACACTCACAAAACCTCTGAAAAGGAACTGCTTTCCCTTTCACAAAAGAATTAGCATGGATTAGCTGTTGTGAATCAACCCGCTTCTGTGTGGCATTGAATGGCGCGAAAACACAACACGCGAGGTGGAAAAAGCATCAATTGCACAGCGCTAATGTGAGCGCTTAACTTGTCTGTTACAGTGGAGAGCTCTTCCATACTCCTAGATGAGATCAGCCCCGTCACCTATGTCAAATTAAAATCATGGAAGTACGGCCGCACTCCATCGTTGTAGTTTCACTGGGGCGCGTCGGCTGTTCGATTTTGACTGCCGAACGCACATCTTGCGACGCAGCCTTACGCTGTGCACTGTGCTTGGGCTCCGCGCTCCGGATACACTAGCTCCGTGTCGAACCTTCCAGAACCGGCTTCGAGAAAGTGAGGGTATAAAATACGACGCTGCCCAGGATTCCAAGCTCACGAAACCGGGAACAGGTGGTTTGCCCGGTAGTTCTCAACCCACATCCCGACGCAAACAGGTAGTGGACATCCGAAGCTTACAGACTTGAGATGTAGAACTCCCTCGACACATCCCTATATGTTGGATCCATTCGTTTTGGATGTTTTGGATACTGAGGACCTTCGTAAGTCCACCATCGTTCAAACGATGCGCTTCATGCACTTCTTTCGCCGGGTCCACAAGGTGCTTCGCAGCTCGCCCACCAGGTCCACTCCAGTAGTCCAGGCTCCCCGGCACGATGAACTCCCGATAGGTGCCGGAGATCTTGATCCGGTCGCCCAGGATACAGTCGGACTCCCTGGGAAGAGGCCATGACGAGGCCCTGGCCCCTTCAGTGACCGAACCGAACATCGGCTCGGAGAGAACGGGCTGAAGGGGCTAAGAAGTCAGCAGGAAGGTGCAAATGACCAGTACTAGTAGCGTCGTGTTACGAGTAGTAAGGCCAGGAGCCACTAGTAGCGTCCTTGCTCCTAGTAGCGATGCCCTTTGCGACTAGTAGCTTCTTGTTGATCAAATATGATCAATGCAACTGGCATCCTGGCCAAGCAAGTTAGCAAATTGAGCTGGACCGTGCGCCAGGCCCTTGAGTGCATTCTCGTGTGAGGGCATCAGGATCAGGAGTCCTACCCAGACAGCAATTGTAGCTGGTATGATCAATGTGGAAAAATAAAGGACTGGTCTCTAGAAAATGTGTTCGATTCCGTTGCCTGCGAAGCGTGTTTGCCAATATATTTCTCAAAGGTTGCAATATTGGCTGGGTCATTCTTCTGTATACATCAGTTTCAATAGCCCTGGGAGCGGAGTTCTGTTCCATAGAGTCATCCACATCCAGAAAAACCTAGTAAAACCTGGTCCTGAACCTCTTTGAGTAGTGTTCTTGCATGATCAACTTCAGTCAATTGAAGTCTTTGACGCTCTATAGGGAATCATAGGGAATCTATATATTCGCTCCTTTCGCGGCGCCGAGCAGCGCTGCTCGGCGACACTCCTGTCAGCGGTGTATTTGACGCGCCCTCCAAGAACTCGACCTCAACTGGCCGAACTCTTGACCGATCGACCTTCCCTGATTGAGATTGGGATCAGCTTTTAGATGCATGTCACGTCGAGTTAGATAATGCAATCGAAGTCAGGGTGTGGGAGATCCGCCATGGGTGGTCTTGTTTTTGTTTTGTGTCTGTGTGTTGTCTTTTATTTTATCTACATGTGCATGATCTGTACATGTCACACATTTTGCGTCCAATTTCGGATTTGCACTCGGCCCCCGCGCAAAGAAGTACCGTGTAGAGGCCGTCTTCTTCCTTGGAGTACTCATCCGCCTGCAGTGAACATTGCTACAACCCTCCATCCCCAACAAAGATCGAAGTGACATGCTCCAAGTTGGGGACGTAGTCTCTAAATTAAAGGGCCTGTTGACACTTCCGCTTCAACCACAATTGAAGACGGTCTACATACACCGTATCGCTGCATCGCATGTACGCCTGACTCCGCGATTTCCAAAACCCGGTGTGGTCACCATGTTTACCAGGTCCAGGTCCAAGTCGACACCGGTCAAGTAGTCTGATGGCAAGTTTGCCTCTAAAACATCTGCAGCCAACCCGACGAAATTCGAAGGGTATGATGGAAAATGCGTGGTTACTGTGGCATGCATGCAATATTTAAAAAAAAACACACAGATATATATATATATATACCTAAAGGTATATATAATATACATATATTTGCTCTATAGTCACATCACATGTACCGTGTTTTTCCAAACATGAAAGTCGAGGCTCGCAGCCCCTCCCTTCGACCTCTCGCGGCGCCTTTGTGACCGACTCTGCAAAGTAGGATCCCCGACCTGGGCGCGCCCGGCGTGGGCGCTGCGCTGCCCGGACGGTTGGGCGATGGGGCCGAAGCACCGGTGGGAGCCTCAGCCTTTCTTCGAAACAATGACGACCAGATGGGCCCAAATGACGGCCTTACTAGGCCATGGGTTTATTCAGAATGAGGTGCCCAGAATGATGAGGTTGCTCAGTATTGGCGCCAATGAGCACCAACCACCTTTTTCTCCCGCTTCCTCATCGACAATTCCATGCAAAGCTGTGCACACTTGCATCCCTAGAAAAAATGGGGAAAATTGATGAAACCCATCTGTTGGGTTCCTCCCGTGGGTCTCGGATTGGGGATTCGACACTTCGGACAGCAAGATGACGGCCAAGCTGCCATAAAGTGTTCCAGTAGCACTGCCTGCCAGTCTCATCTTGAAGTCAGACCTGGGGCAATCGGATGATCCCCGAACAAATCATCCACGATAGCTAGTGCCCAGCGGGGACTTTGGGCCATCCGGCTGAACATCAAAGATCATTGGCCTGTCTGATGCCTAGGCTGCCTAGGCTGTCTAACGTGCAAAAGCTGCACAACCTAGCTGCACGCGAAATGGACCGAAAACAACTGCACCAACCAGCAACCTGCATTCCTAGAGTAGGGGACAATGGCTTAGCCAGGGTACGTCACAGTTCTTCCCTACTCATCCGCATGGCTCAACAACAAGTCAGGGACAAAGGGACACAGCGTATCTCTAGATCTTTTTGTGGACCAATGGCAAACCACTTGCTTTGGTCCCATCGTTCAACCTGCATCTTCCACCATGGGCGTTCGGACTGGCAAATGTTCAGCGCAGCAGAGGAACTGGTCCCGTGCCAAAGGTACCACCTCAGATCCGCGCCAAAAAGGGGGTGCCAGTCGGGAGACAAGTACAAGGTTGCCAAGGGTGTACATTCTAACCAATCACGAATTAAACGTACATGTCTCACACCTGTACGGCCTGCTGGTATTCACAAAGAGAACAACCATGGAATCCCATCGAACTGTACACGCATGGACCTGTTCACACAAAGAACGGTCTTAACGTACAGGTGTCAGCCCTGAGTCGCAGACTGGTCTCAGCATAAGAAGTTAGGCCGGTGCTTCCCAATTATTCAGCATCATATCATGGTTTAGGCCTGTTGAGCCTGTTAGGTCTTTGCACATATCTTGCACCCCGCAAGAGTATATATACATATGTCACACACATATCTTCAATCCATTTCTATCCACTTAATAACCCAGATGTTCGATCAAAAGCCACCTCATGGGGCCACCCTCTTGGGTCGCGGCTCATTGATTGAGGGATCCAGCTGATCACCGTGCGTTTCCCAAACTTTGGTGGTTCGCACATCGCTGTAGATCTGGGCGGAAAAGGGGGGCGAACTCACACATTGGTCAATGTTTGCTGAAGGAACACCCCCATTGAACAGGAAGGAACGAAGGAACTCGTGTGCAAATCTAAAATAGGTTTAAGGTACTTACCCTAGTCCACTGAGTCCACTAGTCACTGGACTAAAGGACTAAACAGTGAACAGGACTCCTTTTTGAAAGGCAGCCCCAAACAAAAAGCAGCAGCAGCAACAACAACAAGAAGAAAAGGACAAGTGGTTCCTTTGCACGCTCCCTCCTGTTTGTTTAAACTAAGTGTGTGATTGGTGCAACACATGCAACCATGTCAATCAGGCTTGATTTGATCGCAGCTCTGTCTTGGGCCCGCCTCGAAAGGGCTCTCCTTTGCCTCCTGATGGATCGAACGCTCGTCGAACGCTGTTTCGCTACGCTCATCCGAGCAGTCGAGCAGTGTGGCGCCGTGTGGCGCCTTTGAGTTGGACATCCAATAAGCAGAACAACATCCTCCAACCGGACGAAGCAATGGCCTCCAACATCCTCCGACTCCAACCTAATACCTAATAATAGCGATGGCCTCCAACCTAATAGCGATATCCGATAAGCCGATAAGCCTCCACCCAGTTGAAAATGTCTGCTTGATCCAAACCATCTCAGCACTGCGACGATTTGCCCTGCATAAGATACTTTAGCACAAATTAAACAGGTTGAGAGAAAGGGACTACGGTAAGAAGGGGGCAATCACACGAACCCAAGGATGATCAGTTTTGCACCCGCTGCGAAGACATGGCGGCCCTGCCCATGGCACTATATGAAACAAGCTAGAGGGAATCGGCGCTAACCCAACCACATTGTTTCTGACCCCTGTTTAGGGTGACAAAGGGTGACCCTTCATAATCCTTCATTGGCCATGGGGGGTGAAAACCACTTCAGCGCCATGGCGTCGGTCGCGATCGGTTGCTCCTGTTTCAGCTCAGCCTTCTTGACGCAGTACCTGAGGGATACGAGGTCGACGTCCCAAGGAAGCCTGTCATTGTAAAGTTATGATTCTACCTTGCTGGCTGGCGCGTGCGAAATCGCATGCTTTTTTCCAGCATCACTGCCCATCACATTGTTCAACACCTGGCCATTGCCTTCTGCAAGCTTTGTGCTGTCGGCACGTCGCGCTCGCCGGTGGCGCGAGCCCACGCTCGACGCACTGCTTTGCTGGCACTGCAGAAGCTGCTCACAGTGAAGTAGACCAAAGAAAAGCGTTCCCCTCCTCTAAAGGGTCTCACCTGGCCATTTTGGATGGTCACGCTTGGCTTTTCTGGGGCAGGCTGTAAGATGCTGTATAAGGAACCACGACCTGGACGGTGAAAACCTTACGTCGGGCTACTTTATGAAGGGGGGCATCGTTGGTCTAGGTCTAGATCTTTCTGCACAATAGACAACACACTTTGGTCGAAAAGAGGGGATGTACTGGTCTAGTGATGTCCACGGTACTGTCTACAATGATCATCAAATAGAGGAAGCAAGGAAAGCAAGGCCCCCCCCTGCTACCCATCCTCTGCTGTTATACAAAAATGAGCCAGAACTGAACTAAAATCCTCAAGGACCAAAAACCATGCATTCGAACCGGGTAGAACCGGGTGGAACCCCCGACCGACCTCACCTCGTGAGCACAAGTGCCATCGAAGAAGTGCATCTTCTTCTTGATGTTCAGCACCTTTGCATCTTTCTTTTGTAGCGTCTCCACCTTGCTGCTCTTGTCATCACCTGAGTCAGCCGACAGGAACCCTGGTATCACATGTATCTATGTAGTGCCTTAAAGAACTACACAAAGGGGAAGCCACTATTTTCTGCTCAACCTGCCCTTCATACATGTATGTAGATGTTATTTCTTATTGAAATTGAGTGGAAATGCGACTGCGAGAAGTGAACAGTTCTCAACACATCGAACACTTTTGGGGTATATCTTCAAGGGGGTTTTCTATGAGTCATCGGTTCAAAAGGGGGAACAAGGTCTAGGGAGTCACCACCCTGTTCATTGTGAAGTGTGCCCTGCTGTGCATTGCGCAGTAGAGCTCGGCCATCGCACCCATCACCGGCCTTCCAGGTACAGAGTGATGCGAAGGGACCTACTGCCTGAGATAGGCAAGGAAGTTCTCTACCGGCACTGTACCGGTATGATTTGGGTTGCACGCATCCATGTACGCTCTTGCCAACACATTGCTATTGATTGGGAGCTACTTGGATCATATAAGCTGGATGGGCCTCTGACCTCTCTCCCCTTTGCATGGCGGATTCATGCCAATGGATAGCTTCCATCATCGCTGAACGCAAGCTGGTTGTGAGAAGTTGGTTGGTCATGCCGCTGGTGGAACCATTGGGGATTGTCGGAAAGGTGGAGGAGTTGGATACTAGGAAGGAGTTGTGCCAGAACAAGGCCGTCTTGGTGCCTATTGTTCGCTTCGCTGGTTTTTTGGCTTGGCAGCATGCATGCATGCTATAGTCTCTTGCGACATCGCTACATAATACCTTTGTGTGCATGGGTTGTCAGGCTCCCCTAAAAGGCATGGTCTATCATGAATCCATCAAGGTGTGAAACCCGGCCCATAAGGTTTGAGGCCACCGTTGGAGCCTTTGGTGGATGCCGTGGAATATGGGGAATCCTTTCTACATCATTGCCGACCTCGTGGCAAGAAGCTCATCGGTAGCCGCCGGTCTTCAATTTATATGTAGCTGGTGTACTAGCACATGAGTCACATGAGTATCATTTATAGCATCGTGCCAAAGCTTCCCCTGCTGTTTCCGCACGCCCGACCAGCTCTGTGTAGTATCCGGGCGCGGCTGGTGCACAGCGGAAGCCTGGGATCCTCCGAACAGCCCGTCGCCGTGAGTGTGGGAGCGATCCAAACTGCACGAACACGATCCCATCCCCAGGTCGCCGCGTTGGATCCACCTCCAATCCACCCTACCAAACCCAGAACCAAAACCCGAACCATACACCCCCAACTGTGCCTTGAAATAGATCGGTAACCCTGAGGATGCACCTGACCTGCCCAGGATTGATGAGTCCACATGATGTGCATACCAAATGACCAAATGGCACTAGGCACTAGGGCTTACGTACCTTTATTGTGCAACATGTATGCAATTCTGTGGTTGAAAGAGTCAGGGCCGGTGCCCGAGCCCTCTCAAAACATTGGCCGTCCAGGTTGGGTTGGGATGGTGTGCACGTCTTGTACCTGGACCAGGAGCGGCCGCTCCTGGTGACTTGCGAGGACTCGGACAGCGACCTGCAGAGCAGGTGCAAGCGTTTTTCAATGTTTTTTCACGGATTCTATGGCTAGCTGAACCAAATCGATCTGTTGCTCTTATGCTTAGTTGGTTGGCGCCTATGGTACTGCTGACAAGGGCAAGCACAAAACCAGTGGATCCAACACCACCGAGAATGCAACCACCAAGATTGAAGCCGAGAATGAAAACACTGACCCCAGAAAAGGCGCTTAGCCAAGCTCTTTGATGCCATTGAGTCAGGGGATGCTTCTTTTTGACGAATGAGGTTCTAAATGAACTGGAGCGCCAACAACTTCAACAAATTTTGGGGAATGAATTGCTTGCCCTCGAGCTCATGGAGGAAAAAATGAAACTACTTGAGATGGAGCTTGAGATCCCAACTTGTGAGTCCAAAAACGGAACACTTTGTGTGGAATCTTCAAGCACTTTGCCACATGCATGGAGCAATTGATAAACAATGAAGATCTACAACCAAAGATCCTTCTTCGGCCACGTGCAAGACCTTGCGCCTCTTCTACACCCACTCCTGCAGTTCAATCTACACCTCCAGCCATGTGTGACTCAAAAATGAGCAACACCAAGACTGATGAGCAAGTACGACTTAAACTAGTACATAGCGCGATACGCCTAAGATTTGCCATCACTCCCATGCCCCGTTGCCCACGGATCTTCCGGCCAACACCGTACCACCGGTGAAGGTCGAGCCTGAGAAGCCGGCGGAACGGCCTGAGTCTACGGAAGAGCTGCGTGCAAAGACCCTAAGGCTTGGGGATGGTTCTACTCTCCAACTTCCGATAAGAATCTAAGAAGGAGCTGTCCAGAAGAATGTAACAACGTATATTATAAATCATTTGCATGCCTATAGATCGTGATGATATGATAATGATATGATATATATATATATATGCACATGTTGCAGTTGCACGCACATACTTAAGAACCATCTCACTGTCACCGCAGGAAGCTAAGGAGGCAAGGTCTTGCAGCTATGCCGCCCCGGTCTTGCTGTGTCGTTGCAAGGTGGCAAGTGCGTCACGGAATCTGGGTTCCGAACCTGCCCCGGGTCGTGATGTGAATGGGAGTCAGCTCCTTTGTGATGATGGCTCCTGACTGTTCTTCTTGAGGTGGGTTCGATGATCTAACATTATGATAAGTGGGAAACTCACCCTGCACATTCATGAGCTAAAGGCTAGGTGTGAGGATCGTAGTCCTAGCGGTTGATATTTTCCATGAACAACGCCAATGAAAAGGGCCCCCACGAAAACAAACCATGGACCAGTTCTATGAAGTTCTTCAATCGACTGTGCCTAGTCACGCCTATAGTCCTACCCTGGACCTGCCCTGGTTCACGCTGAATTCTTATTTATCAGTTGCGTTCATCAGGTGTTGGGATCCACAGAGCTGACCGAGGAGTTGATCGCCCTTCAAAACGGTGGCCGTGAAAGCTAGTCATGGGTTGCGCATGCAAAGTTCACTTTGTGATCCTTTATGGCTAAATAGCATTAACAGTAACATGCATCAAATAGCTAGGATCCGGCTTTCCATTTGCAAAAGTTATAGAATGATTTAGATCTTCATGGCGGCACGTTTGCACTCGGGCGCCACTTTGGTGGAAGGCACGGACTGCAGTGACTGGGTATGGAGACGTGGCTACTCGCAAAAGAAAACTAGAACAGAAGATTGCAGTGACTTGCCTTTCACAATTCGAATGAAGTTCCAGGGGGTTGGGATCTCCTGAAACAGCGTGTGCGAGTCGAGGGAGGATGAAGATCTCCCAAGCACAAGGCGGATGGAATGTGGATTTCAACACTTATCCTGAAGGTGATCTTCCAGGCGGATGCAATGATAAACCCATGACTGAAACCCCGTACTTATGAACCTATAGATTCACACGCTGATTTCTTAGAAGCTCCAAGAACTACAGAAGCAGTGGGTCCCTACGGTGCTGGAGTCAATTGAGCTACGTCGCCATGCGGAGGAGCTGAACGAAGCACAAACCCCCCCTGGATCCCTGTTGAAGTTCTCAACCCGGACCCTGCTCCCAAAAGGCCTGGGCATGAAGCTTTTGAGAAGCTTTCCGCACCAGTGCCAACACCAGTGGCCACAGCACCACCTCCCACCCAGGCTCCAAACACGGCGCCGAAACACGGCCCAGATTCCAAAGTCCTCAGAAAAGGTCGTCATTGATCTCAGTCCTGCCGAGAAGACACACTCGCAGCACGAAGAATCTGAACATGATGATTCGATATCACAGCGACCCCCACAACCTTCGAGAGAATCAGGCTAATTTTTGGAAGCGTATTGGTTGAAATTACTATTTGCATGTCTTGTGCGGCATGTCTATATATATATATATATATTATAACCGGTATATCGATACCAAGTCCCAGCCAATGCATCCGCTTAAAGTCTAGCCCGGGTCCTGCCAGGGCGGGAAATGGAAGTGCAGGCCTGAAGCTATACAACTTTGGAACACCACTGATGGCCTTCCCCAGGTCCATCTATTTGAGACTTCACCGCATGTGCCCGAAAAGACCAGCCGACATGTGGAACATGTGGGACCACACGCTGCAACCACCCTATATTCGCACCGAACGGGTCATTCGAGTTCATTGAGATGGAGGTGAAGAAAAGCTTCACGAAAACCTGGCAGATGGAGAAGTCAAGCGGTTAGTATGCAAGCAAATCGACTTGTAAAGTGTCTTTTAGCAAATTGCATGGCCAGCTGAACTTAGGCCGTCAATGCAACACTTTTCTACCATGTGCTGAGCCCTGCCAGTTCCAACCGCAGTCACACCCAAAAAACATAGTTGTTCTTTGCGAGTGCCAGCCAATGGCTACATGGGCGCATGAGGATTACAGTGCTTCGCAAAGCTTCAAGAAAGGTTCACTCGACTAAGGTGGCGATAAGCACAGTTCGGAATAAATCAGCCAATACCGGTATGAATGGAAACGCGCCAGAAGCCGCTGACCCTGAGACTCTGGGATCCCCGGCCAGCTCGAAAAGGTGTGCTCGTTCACGTGCGTTGTGTATTTGTGCAAAGGCGGATGGTGTTGGGGACTAACCAATGGGATGGTTTGAGAGGACCAAACTTGAACACGAACACTTTTGCTCAAGCGAGCGGCTTTATCTAACACGAGCACCAGGGAACCTCGAGCAAAAAATAAAACCAATTTGATCCAATTTGAAGCTATATACTGGATATATAACAACGGTACCATCTTAGGTAAGGAAAACGAGGGTGGACACACAGCCCATCTCTCCAAGGCACGCGGCCAGTAGAGCAGCTCGCCGCCCTGGAACGGCCCGACGGCCGCAATGGCAGAGGGTCCACTATTGTTCCTGAGCAACACCCTGCAAGAGCTCTTCAAACATGAAATTCCTTGATGGCAAACCCTGTTCCCTCTGCCGTCCGACATCACAACTACCTTAGGAGAACTAGGTCCTTGACATGTTGCGCGACTTTGGCGACCCCAATGTCAATGTGACACCAAAGTCAAAGAATTTAATACACAAATATTATGGCAGTTGAGTCTTGTGGAAAAAATCGCAAAAACACACCCGTCATTGCTCATCCCTCTCAACCCTGCCACTCCCAAAAGCGCCAACCATTACACCCACAACATCAGACCAGGCCCAGGCACTTGTCTCTGTGCCTTTTGGCGCGGTAATTGATGTTGAGGGAAATCGAGGTGAACGGGAAGGTGCTCGTCTTCTGCCGCAACCACTTCGTGAGGAGCCGAGTCATGTTTGGGAACCTCCTGGGACCGCGGTCCGCGACCGCCGGCGTTGAAAAAAGAACACTGGTGGGTGGATGGGGCATCTCGCGCTTTCAGGGCTGAAGCTGGTCGAATGGTAGTACATGTACAAAGTTGTCGAACGGATGTAGTTGATTTGTGGTTACATTGGCTTTGTTAAGGCCAATGTTTTCTCTCACAAGGACGGACCTGAATGTTAGCATCTACAACATAATTGCATAGGACTGTCACGCAAATTTTGGCTCAGAGTGCCTCAGGATCATCCACAAAGGGTCTGAAATGACTTGGATTGCTCATCACTTAGCGTTTTTTCTATTTTGTCGACCACCCCAGGAACATCACCTCCACAGTATGAGTCACCACATTGCGCCGCGAGTCGCCTCACACGCCTGAAAATTGTGCCAAGCATCTTCGACAAAGACGTCAACACCGCCTTCTTGGCGGTCCTTTTGTTGACCAGGCCGAAGGTGTCGCTGTAGACCGCTTGCCCGTCACGCTTCACATTCTTGCGGATCTTGTTCTCGTGTGTCGCCCATGCTTTCCTTGCCGAGCAAACAGTTGGGCTGCTTCAAAACTTGTAGCCTATTGTGCCTGATTGCCTTAAGGCCTTAGCTGAAGGTCATGTACCGGAAAAAACACTTACAAGGTTCTTCATGTACAAAGCGAACCCCATCTGTTGCGGAAGGTCGTATTGTCTTCAAACCCAAAGCGCCTACACAATACATGGTGGTCTGGTAACAGAGCATTCTCTGGCGCACGAGTCTCAGCTGACCAGTTGAAGTCTCTTTTGTGTTGGCCGACCGGTGGACTTGGCCAACAAAATCGATACTGATCATTGTATATAGTTATATATTGGTTGGTTGGTTCCACAAAAAAGGATTCACCTGGCAAAATCTGAGTGTTCTATGCACGGTGAGATTTCCTGCATTTGCTACACTCTTCCCAAATCGGCATGGACATCTCTCAAGTCTGTCTGCGTCAGCACCAGCAGTGAAGTCTGCCTTCAGTTTCGCCATGCGTCAGTACCAGCAGCAAATCTGCATCGAGCAACTGCTTTTTCTCCAGCAGTTGCCCGGCCAGGCGCTCCGCGATCCGTCGGCGCCTCCCCGGATCCTCGTCCACAGCCCGACCATGTCGGGCTTGTGGTGGGCGCACCCACTGCGGCTGTGAACCGGTGCGCTTGCGCTTCCTGGAGGCACTGGAGGCTGGAGCAAAGAGCCTTTCTAGCCTCTGTCGCTACGATCAAATGAGTAAGCAACCTTATCCCTTGTATGAGGGCCTTTCTGGATTCTTCGAGTGGAGCCACTGAACTCGGGCGCCCTAGATCCAGTCCTGTTGAGCGCTGCATGCAGAGAGACCGGCTTGAAGACCTTCCCATTCTCCAACTTCTTTGCCTGTCAACGAGGCACGCAGCAAGGAGATTTCGAAACAAATTCTAATCAAAGTGATGCAGGATATATCTATACTGGTCCAAGTGAGAAATAGGACCAGTATAATGCGATGAGATGCTCATACTGGCGTATTATTGAAACACATGGGTGGAACGGTGGAACCACCGGCGGCTGCCGGGTTGACCCCAACATTTACACAACATGTCTACCCAAAAGGGGGTTTCAAGTTGGCCTCTGACGCCAACCTACGGGCACCAGTTAGGTTTGGACCCGCCGGATTCACCACCTTCACACACTGCTGCACATCCCCTCTCCGCCCAGGTCCGTCCGGATGTCCGTCCGGGAGCGCGCCAGCTGCCGCTGCCGTGCTTTCGTGCCCCCACAGCGCAGCTCCAGTTCGGCGGTGGTGTACACCGCCCCGATCTCCAGAGACATCCCCAAATGGGGTAGGGACACCACCTGCACGAATCACAAAGGCCCGGATGGAACAGTGACGAAAACATGGAAGTGTCAGACTCAGGCCCAACTTACAGGGGTGTATCATGTACAGTAGACTTGGGCCTCAATCAAGAACAATGGAAACTGCTTCTGGGAATTGCAAGTGGGTGTACGGTGTACACAACAATCGGTTGGAGCCTGTTTGTCCAAACCGGCTTGGAAGTTGAAGTCTGCCGGACTATCGTGAATTTATCCGAGACGATGTTTGGGTTGGGATTGGAGGCTGTAGAATCTAGAGCCAAAACATCACCGGCACCCTGGACTGGAACAATCATGGAAGTGGAAATGGCCCCTTGGATGACAATATTCCTCTACAAACAAGATCAAACAAGTGGTTTTCCACTGCTATGTTGGCCTCAGGGAGTGTAAACCTCCAAAATGCATCCAAATGCGACTCACTTCCAACCCCGCCTTGTAGGCCAAAGCCATGCTTGGTTGAAATCCTGTTCCGCGGCGCTGGCGCAACGTATTTCTCAAAAATCCTCATAGATAGTAGAAGCGTGGCACTTGTTTCTACTAGCTTCTTGTTACTACTAGTAAGGCACTTGTTCCTAGTAGCGATGCACTTGTTCCTAGAAGCATGTAATTTTCAAAGTTTCAAATATACCAGGGCATACCAACGTCCCTCCAATGGGCACCCCTTAGCACCTAAAACCATTGAGCACCCCTTAAGATTTCATTATGCTCTTGCCAACCTAGTTTGAAGCATACCGGACCATACAACTCATTTTAAACTTAGAGCTGGTACTCTCAGCCCCGGTCTCTGCCAAGTATGCAGCCTTCACAGGCATTACAGTGGATCGTTTACTTAGGATGGTTCTTCTCTTTTCAGCTTGGCTCTTGGCGCTGCTTACCACAGTTCTATTCTGTGCCAAATAGGGTCCTCGAACCACTAGAATTTCAACTGGGCAGTCTTTGGCGAAGAGATTGTGAACACGGACCAAGACATTTGTGGATCCAGTGATGCCTGGTGGTCGGATGGTCGGTGTAGCCAGAAATGTAGACACCAACACTGCACCAACACCATAGGTTGCATAGACTGTTAAATCGCGTACACCACCTTCCAACAATCTGAAGGTGTAGCTCCAACTCATTCGATCCCTGATCGATCGAGCAATGGCCAAGAAGAGAAAATTGAATAGCCCTGTTGCAAAAAATCTTGTCAGCAATAGGTGCTGAGGAGGGTTGATACAGGTGACACTAACTTTGATTTCCCCCTTGTACGAGGAAGCTGGCATCCGCTCTTGCTAAAGAGTGGACACTGCATATGTTCGAAAGCATGGTGAGCTTCTACCAGGAGGAGATATCAGAAGGGTGTCCAATCAGTGGGTGCGGGCGGCCTTTGTTGACAGTGTGTTCCACGGGAACTTCGCGTCCGGGAAGCTGTGGCAAAGATTGTAAAGAAAAAGAAACTTTGCCCACCACTTAGCTTTACCACTTAGCTTTACTTAATTGTTCAATGTTAATTGTCATCATCAGGATTTGAGTGTGGTGTCCCTACAGGGTTTGGGATTCCTCCAGGGTTCCAGCTCAGGTTTAGAAAAAAATGACTCTTCAAAGGAAGATTGGATTGTGGAGCAGGTCACCTCATCTGGATCGAGTGGGTTTTCGTTTTTTTCTTTTTTAAAAGATTGAAATTTGGGGGTGGCTGATGGTTGAACCAGTCGAAAGGGATCCACGTTTCTGTCTCCTACTAGCAAGAAGACTAGCAAGAAGACCGTGATACTTGTCTGGTTAAATCCAAGAGTCCACCTTCTGGGGTTAGTCGAACCTTTTTCGTCATCGGCCACTTTGTGAAGCCAAGGAAGTCGTCGTCTGTTGATGAGATGGACACCCAGTTGTACGAGATGGAAACCCAGCCTTACGACTCTCGCTTCCCAGATTTTGATTCGACCAGTTGTACGAGATGGAAACCCAGCCTTACGACTCTCGCTTCCCAGATTTTGATTCGACCCTGGGACATCATTCCCTATTTTACTGTTTGGTCATGCGAGTGGCAGCTTCGACTAGAGCAACAGTTTGTGTACTATTTGAATCATGTCCACTATTGAGGAACGCCACCGGATGTGATTCTGGCGCTCCAATTGCTGAGCACGCGGCTCCTTCTGACCATATTATTTGTTGCTCTTGCATGTTCCTGGGGGGTTGTTCCGCTACAAAGTGTTTCAAGATCGCCCGGGATGAGGACTTGCCGTCAACTGTTGACCAATCTCCCATGAGAGGGCTTGCCTCCCAAGTTTTTCCATGCTGTTCACCTTTTGATCATTGGGTCATGGAGTGTCTCACTGATCCTCACCTGAGGATGGCAAGTCTCAGGCAAAGAAGCAAAAGCGTCATGTTTCTGAGAAGCCGGAAAGTGAAGTCGATGAAGCCGAGGGAAGTGAGATGATGCAAGATGATGAAAAAGATTCAGAAGAGGAACCCGCTGAGGAGAGCAAAGTTGAGGAGCAAGAGGCTGGCAAAGAAGCTGAGGACCAGACGTCAGAAGTTGAAGACCGAGATGAGGAGAACGATGAAGATTTGAAGAAGTGTGAAAAGAATGGTGGTGGGAAGAAGGATGCCGAAAATAAAGAAACTCCGACAGAGGACGAATGTGGGAGTGAGGATGAGGATCAGGCAGATGCAGCCCGCCATGACATAGAGCGGAAAACCTGGAGCATACCGACGTCGCCTGACCAGAGTGAAGCTGAGGAGGAACAGGATGAGGAGAGAGAAGATGACGAGAGTGGAGCTGAGAGGAAAAGGGATGAGGAAAGAAAAGCCAAGGAGGAACCAGAGGAGCGAGAGGCTGACAAAGAAGCAGAGGACCAGAAGTGTGAAGAAAAGGGTGAAGAGATTGAGGTTGAGGACTCAGACTCGGATGATGCTGCAGAGAAGGGCAAGGGAAACATGTCGGAGAGTGAGAGACCAAATGCAGCCAGCCATGACCTAGAGCGGAAAACCTGGAGCATACCGACATCGCCTGACCAGAGTGAAGCTGAGGAGGAAAAGGGTGAGAAGAGAAGAGTGAAGCTGATGAAAAACAGTCTGAGGAGAGTGGAGGTGAGGAGGAAAAGACAGATGAGGAAAGTGACTCCGGGGAGGAAAAGCCTGAGGAAACTGGTTCAAGGAAAGCTCAAGAGAAAAGTGAAGCTGACGCAAAACAGTCTGAAGAGCGTGGAGCTGAGGAGGAAAAGACAGATGATGAGACTGGCGCAAGGGAAGCTCAGGAGGAGAGTGAAGTTCAGGAGAGAAGGACCGAGGACCAGGTGTCAGAAGATGATGGTTATGAAGCAAAAGGCGAGAGTGAGGAAGAGTGTGAAAGACAAATTCGTTTTCGAAGAGAAGCTCCAGAGACAATGAAACAGGTGAATGAGATGTCGGCCAAGGACGTGGAAAGCTTGAGAAAATGGACTCCTGAAATGCCTGCCAGGTTGGAACGATTGGAAAACTATGTCAAATGTTCTTGTGGTTTCAAAAGGCCTTCAAAAGCTGAACCCAAGAGCAAAAAGAAAGCCAGGTCCAAGACCGTCCCTCGCAAAGAGCAACCAGACGAATCAGAAGATGCGCGTTGAAGAGCAAAGTGTCGCTGCAAAGGATGGTGACAGAGAGGGCTCAGAAAATGAAGATGCCGAGGCAACGGCTGGAAAAGAAAGAGGTGAGGAAGGCGAGGATGATGGTGATGAGAAGACCCTTGGGCCCGCCGAGAAAGGGAGCAAAGCAAAGCGACAAGAACCTCAACATGATGCAGCTGCAAGCATGGAGGAGGACGAGGAGGAGGAATGTGATGAAGATGGGGAATGTCATGATGATGATGAGGACGACTCTGCGAATGATGAGTGAGAGGCTGACAGCAAGAAGATAGAAAAGGAAGCTGCTAGTGTAAAACAAGAAGAAGGAAAGGAAGCTGCCACCACAAAGAAGGAAGCGTCTCCAAAGCCCAAAGCTGCCAACGCAGCGTCAGAAAGGACTTGGGCCTATCTGAACAAGAGGAAAGCAGCAAAGGCAGCGCCAAAGAAACTCGAGATGCGGAGCAAGAAAACATTTGCGGTTGACGGTTGACCTGGTTGAAGCGGTTGAAGCAGCAAACAAGAGACATCAAAAGGAGGGAGCAGGTGGCAGCTCACATCGCAGCGGCAGCGGCACAAGCACTTCTTCCAGCGTTTCAGTTTCTTCCTCCACCAGCAGTTCGAGCAGCAGCTCTGACGATGATGATAAGGAGAAGAAGGCTGGTTCAAGTAGCATCAGGTCACAGTATCCGAAGTCCAACATCAAGCGGTGGACCAAGACAGTTCAATCTAGTTATATGTTATATAGATACCCGTGCACCAACATCACACACGGCGAGATTGGCAAAACTTCGGGCCAAAAGGCAAACAACTATCCCTGAAAATCTGGAACAAGATCTTCGTAACGAGTGGGTTTCCTAGCGCATATGCACAGCACCTTGTTCTGTTTGGTTATGTTTGGCATGGATTTAATTCAGAGGCTCCGTGGCCTTTTGGCCAGCATACTTGCCCATGCCTCCAAAACCGGTCTAAATTGCTTGATTGTTTAATCTTAAACTGTTTCATCAAGTTTTTTCCAGGGGTCTTCATAAAGCACTCAGTTCGGTGGATGTTGTGGGAGGCTGATGATGGTTCTGGAGGTGGTGACTTGGAAAAGGCATTGGATGCAAAGGTGGAGAAGGAGGAGAAGCGGGAACGCCAACCACCATCACGTCGAGTCCGACAGAAGGGCTCTACATGTTTCTTGGCTCTGCTTTTAAGTTATATTCAAAGTAATTGAATTCAATTTCAATCTGTTTGGAGCCAGAATCGGACCTGGCAAAGAAACCAAGTTGCCAGAATGATAGAACCAGTAAATAAAGGTTTTGTCCGGGTACCCTCCTACTATACCCCCCGGCGCCGCTGCTGCCAAACACTGCCGCGGCATCAGCGGCATCAGTGGCATCGGCGGCATCAGCAGTTGCCAGCTGCAACAAAGGCCAGCAAGGGGGACAGAGAGAGGGATGCAGCTGATTGTCTTCAAGACAGATGTGGAAGAGGTCCGTCAGGTTTGTTTTAGGTTCACAGTAGAGCTAGTGCTGGTCAGGGAAGCACATAATGATTGTGACACAACACCGCGAGGACCGTCCCGTCCAGTTAGTTTTGGTTCAAAGTAGATGCTAGCGTGTCACCATGGGTAAGTCCCTGGTGGAACTCCTGCAGCAAAAGGAACAGAAGAAAGAGAGCCTTTGATAATATTATGCGCACGTGTTTTTCCCATGCAAATAGTGTCATCCAGCATCGACAGATTCAATAATGATCCTCCAAACCATTCCAAAGTGACCAAGCAAAACAAAGGTGATCAAGAAGCCGGCAGCGGCAGCGATTCTGAAGAAGCCCTCCAATGCTACACACATCCAGCTGCCACTCATCTTGAAGTCTTGAGGAGTATATGCGGTGATAGCAGCAACCATCAGTAACCATTTATGGAGTAGCATATTATTATATTATTGGAATATATTGGACTGTATGCAATTTTTGGCCCACATCCAAGGACGCCGTATCCAATTCCAAGTTCACCACAAGACTTGGGGAGCCTTGGAGGCACGAAGACATCTTGCAATGAGTACAAAAACCAACACCTTCCTTCTTGTCGAAACCGCTATCTTCCCGAGGAACTGGGCACGAGTAGTCCTACAGCGATGTGCCTCCATCTTCGGAGAGGAGCACTGCAAGAAGCACCTGGCACAGCCACAGACTTGTTTCACTTTGTTTTCAGGGATTGAATGTGCCAGAGTCTCATGGGAGTTCATAGCTTCAGCAGCACGTGAACTGTGGGACATTGAGACGGGCTTGCAGTTTTCTTTTGCAGCAGCTCGCTTTAAAAGTTGACAGAATGTGCACAAACAGTTTGTTGGTTTGTTTTGTACACTCACCAGCTTACACAAAAAGCCGTTTTTTTTTCATTTGAGGTGGAGAAGGACAAGCACTGCCAGGAGTACCTTCTATCGGCCTTCCCAGAATCATGTCTTTTTCCAGACATCATGGATCTAGTGGATGGGGATGTGCCAAAGACACACGTGCTGGACCCACTCACCATCAAACTCAAAAAGATGGCACATTGTATTGCTCACAAAAAAAGATGTCCACTCAAGCTCACCAAAGACCGCACATGTATCCTTGGCAGCCCGTGTGTTCTTTTCAGCTGGTTCTTTGGAGGCATTTCAGGGGTGGACAATGGACAAGTTGTTTGAGTTTCTTGGTTGACATCACTGGCCGCTAGACTTCTCATGCCAACTAAGACTTGGAAAGCGGGAGGGCTTCACCAACATACAGAAAGCCCAATTGCATGCCATCAGCACTGCAATTCAATCCAAGACACGGTCCAGTGTCTTGGAAAATGTTGTCGGCTACAACGATCAGATGCTACAATCCATGGGTCAGAACATACAAAAGGCCAAGTGCCCTGACAGCAGCTAGAAGCCTGTTCAGTTCCCTCCCAAGTCACAACTTGTCACTCGTCACCGCCCGGCCTTTCCATTTCCAGGCTGTTGCCACAAATGTTCGGGAGCCCGAGCGCCAGACCTAGGGAGTACCGCATCCTGTTTGATCCAAAGAAGTGTTCCTGGATTCCGGAATCTCAGCTGATACACACTCTTTCAGGTTTCAGGTCATGGTGATTTTCCTGTACGTTTGTTTGTATTGAGGAGATGACCTTCCAGGAAATCGTCAAAGTATTGTTGGCGGACCAGTGCACACCGCTCCAGCTAAATCCACGCTGCTTTGCTGTGAGCAAAGCTGACCCAGAAGAGCTGCCCAAGCAGGAACCCTAATATGGGTCAGTTACGTACTAACAGTAACTATAAACCTTTCATTACCATAATTTGCTACCTGCACTCTGCCCAGGTCCATGAGGGACAGCTTGCTACGCTATCAGGCACGGTTTCCGGAGAAGGACCTATTTGACTTGTCCCAAGATGCCAAAACCCAGCCTCGAACATGCTTGAAACGGGGCGAGATGCCAACATTGGCAACATCCACACGATTCCTGTGGTCCTATCCCCAGTTTGGAAATCGACAGCTAACTCTTTCAATACTCCTTGTAAACTTCCATGTAAGTATTCTTTGCCCAAAACAATTTTCACTAAGGAGCCAGCAGTTGAAGCGGGTCTTCACAGGGCGGGAGAAGCTCCTGTCACTTGGATACCCAGTGTGGCAGCCCTTGTGCTCAACTGCAGGTGTGGAAGCTTGACAGGCACACATGTCACATGTTGCAGTTGACAGGGTGTCATGCTAACAGGGAGCCGTGAAATTGTTTTGATCTTAGGAGAAACGGACATTGGGCGGCGATGAGACATTCTCTGAGTACACACTTTCCCGGATGAGTGGGAATGGGATGCATCTTCCAAGTGTTGGAGTGTCAATCCTCCTGCACGTTCTGGCTCTCAAAAGGGATTGAGCTAGGCTAGCAGTTGCATTACCAAAATTCGACAGCAAAGCAGAGCTTCAAATTCAGTGGTCAAACCTGTGAAGCTGCGTGTGATTCTCATTGTTTACCCTTGACACCTCTTTACAACTACTACCCTTTCCCCCTTACTCCAGCCAAAAACTACCATGAAACCTGACAGGTCCTCTGATTGACGGACGCAAGCTTTGTGCCCGGACCCTGAGATCTGTGGGGAAGAGCTGGGCAGCCGTGAGCGCAACAAATATGTGATGGCAGTTTGGTTCGAACGATGACTGCTTTTGTTTCACGAGTCTAGCGACAGAGCAAAGTCATAACAGAGCAAAGTCAAAGTCATAACAGTGCTTTCTGTATTGTCCACCTACTAAGAGGCTTAAAAAATAATTAATGTTGTCATGTTATACTTCACTGATGCTTTACACTTCAGCTTCAAAAGATGCAGATCCATGCCCACTTTGCCGTTGAAGCGCCTCTTCCAACCAGAAGCTGCCGAGCCTGACAAAGGCTGCAATATTCAGAAGAAGCGTGCGCAACACCCTGCAGGACTAAACTTGCAAAAGTCTTGTGTTTCTTGGGCAGAGATTTTCAAGGCTGAATCTGGTCCAGTGATAGTTTGTAAAGTTACAGTATATTGGCAATAACCCTGGCAATACCCTCTCATGAGAATCCTGTAGGATCCAAGCCAAAAGCAACCCCAACTTTGTTTCAAGCAGAGCCGGAAGAGTTTTCGGGACCTTCAAGAAAGTCTGCCTCCTCATCGTCTTCCCGGAGATTGTTTGCCCCGGAGCCTGATGAGGCTACTTCGAGTTCAGAAACGGAGTCGAATGATGAGGGTGGAAAAAATGGGGAACCCGCCAGTGTCTTCAACTTTGGTTGGCGAAGTATTGCTACTTGTTCAAAGGTGAACCTCACGAGAGACATCGGTCATCAACCCGAAAAAGTGAAGCGGCCGTATGACAACAGCAAACGTCATGCCAAAGCAGAATACAAGAGATCTGCTTCAAAATCCTTTCAAGAGAACGGTCTATCCCAAGAACGAGTACTGAAAGTCTTAGCCCAAGACTCTTGCTTGTGTGCCTAGGATTGACCTAAATGAGGTTTTGATTTTGATGTTTGATGAAACTAAAACTAACTGCCGCCCCCAACCAAAACAAGGATGCCCTGTCAGTGTGAGCCCAGCCGTCAAGTAAGGTGCCCGGAAATCGTGTTTCACGCAATTCTCCATGAAAGACATCATGCCGTTCTTACAAAAATTCTGGGACATGCCAAAGGCAGACCAGGATTCGCTGGCTACTCGTCCTGTTACTAACATATTTTAATAGTCGCATGTGTGGCTGTCTTTGTTTCACAGAAAATATCTATTATGTAATAATATATAAAACATATTAAAACATAATAATAAACATACGACTATTTCCTCTATTTGTCTTATTAATATATCATAATCCCGCCTCTGAGATAGATGTTTTGATGTTGTAATATTATTCTCTTTGCATCCTCACTAAGATGCACTCATCCGTCGATGGATCTGGCCCCGTCGAAACATATTTCTTCCTAGAGAGAAACATTGGAGCCAAGTGCCTGGCATCCCTGCTTGGCATTGGCTCCAACCGCCTCAGACGCAACAACCAGCTCACTCCAGATCTCCGCTGTGGGAAGGCTAAAGGTGGGTCTCGCAAGGACACACAATCGGTGGACGCATTCCTGTCCATCCTGTGGGAATCCGTAGCAAAGACCTTACCCGACAGGCTGGTCCTGGTCCTGCATTAAACACTGACCAATTTTTTTTACTAGTAAGTATAGTAAAAACATGATGAAATCATCAATCGGGAGCTTGCTGCCCTGCATAGGTTTATCCGAAGGGGCCGTGCTGCGAAACAAGCAGACACAGATTGGGAATTAGCTTCCGACGTGGACGATGACGAGATTCTCACTTGGCTGGAAAAGCCCGGTGCAAACATGGCTTGGCAGTTGATCCAAAGCAATGACTCCAAGAAACTGTGCAAATTTTTGCCTCCTGGCAACCTGCAAGAGATTTACAACCATTATGCATCCACTCGTCAGCTTGCTGGAGAGAAGCTTGTGTCGTAGGGTTCTTAATTGATTGAACCATCCGGGAGAACACTGAGAGGTGAAGTATATACTCACTTTTGGAAGAACCCTGGTGGCTAGCTCAAAGTATTCACAAAGGGTTTCCTTTGGCTTGAAATGCCCTTCTGAGGTATAGTACCTTTGCACGAGTTTACAAAGAACGATGGGCTGACGTTTTGAAATTTCGGCAGAAGAGCATGTTCTCCAGCTTTTGCTCAGTAAGTCTTTGGAACCTGTGTTGGGATGTCTTGGGGAAATAAATCAACCAATTTTAAATTGGTTGGTTTTCTGAGAGCTAGACTTTGCATCTCAGGTTTGCGCGTTGCGAGGTGTGCTTCTTGTTGACCCAGCAAATCGGCAGCCGTTCAGAGCCGATCGAATCCAAACTGGCCGCGACAAGATCGTATAGAGATCATCTTCACGATCAATATGTTGACAGGAGTGTCGCGTGGAGTTTGCAAGAGCTTTCGAAGGATCACCATTCAGACACCATCTGTATGGTATTGGACGGCATGGACCAAGCCAAATTTGCAATTCCTTCCAGCCCAGCTTTACGAGCCACTGCCTCTGTTGCGCGGCACATCAGCCCTACTCTAAAACTTCACGGCTGCTGGTGCTTTGGTTGGACGCTTGATCTTCATGTTCTGGACGAATCCACAAAGCACGATTCATCGTGTATCATTGAAATTGTGGCGAGATGCCTGGAGCGTGTTTCAGAAATCAGCCAGAGACAGAACCTGCCTTTTCCCAAATCTGTGATTTTGATATCTGACAATTGCGTCAGGGACCCAGGAGTTGGATAGGTCTGGAAACGGAGGTGCGGGTTGCACGTCTACACTCCGTGCGTGACTGGCGCTCTCACTTTCAGCCAGCCCAACGTGTGACATTGCAAGGAGGACTACTTGAGGATGCACTTGCAAATCACGCTTTCGTTTGCATAGCTTACCGAGGCCCTTTAACCGTGTTCGTTTTGAGTTGTATTATGTACTACTTAATATTACTGATAATATAATATATATTTTTTTTAAATATAGTTTCTGGGTTTCCAGGATTGTGTCATGGTAGTTTCTGAAGTGTTGGTCTTGAAGCCAGCTGTGCTTCCGCCAGACCTGCCTGACCATCTTCGCGACCAAGTGGACAGAGGCGCTTCCAGAGCGGCTCCACAGCCAAATGATTGCGTCATGCTGATCAAGCAGTTCATTGGAAGTGAGCGTTTGGCACAACGACCTTTGCTAGTGCTGACAGGAGGGCGAGCAAACATGGTGAATAGTCTTGTGCCAACCGAAAAGTGCACCGATTATTGTTAAGTAGTGTTTTTTTTATGTTTTTTTGTACAGCTTTGAAGCCAACTAGTAGGGAGTCACCATAGGAGATGGAATGTGAAGATTAGGAAAGTTCTTTTGGGATCCTTTGGGTATTTGTGGATTAACATTCATGGTGGACATGATGTGTTTTTCTCCATATGGTGTTTCTGAGGATTGGAAACAATCATCCGGCCGCTTTCCGGGATCAGTGCAATGGATTGGCAACAGCAGTCCAAAAGGCTTACACCCATGGGTATGAGGAGACCGTGGAATACCTGAGGGGGTTGGCTCGAAACACTTTTTGGGAGTCTGATCAGTTACCAGATTTGCCCTGGCACCGTGCCAATGGACAGGAACCTGGTCCAGTGGAGCCAGAGTATCGTTTACATCCCACTGTTTTGGCTGCCATTGCTCCAAGTGTCGCCTTAAGGGCTACATTTGGAGGCCGGCGGGATGTGTAGCCTTCAATAGGCACGTCCGCTACGAACGAGTTGCTTTTGAGAAACATATGCCAATGCGCGGCTTACTTGTAATTTCGTTTGAGGCACAACGTCTAACATGTCCAACCAGAATCGGTAGCAGCATCACAGCAAGAAATTTGGAATATGTTTGGGTTCTTCGTTTGGTGTGCTAGAAAGCTTTGCCAAAAGCAGCTGATGTTTCTTCGGGTTGGTATACTTTTTGTTTGAGCTCAGTGAAATCCATTTTGGGGGACAAAGGTACATTCCTGAGCCATTGTGTGGGTGTAACATGCTGAATGGGATAGTCAGCAGTGTGGCTCAAACTTAACTAGCGGTCAAGTTTTTGAGAGATTGAAATGGTCAGTAGATGCGATAAGTGCTGGCCTCCTCACGGTGAACCACCATATGAATGGAATCGCAAAGCCGCCCCTCACATCCCGAAAGAGAAAGATGAGTTGCTGAAAGCGTTGAGTTCCATTTTTGAAAAGGAAACCAAGGCGGGTGAGTTTGCCGGCTTGACCAAAGAGGAGCTGAAGGCCATTTATCGTCGCAGGGTTCGTGGTGAAAAACATGGCTGTGATCCAACCCAAGGCATTACCAACAAGGACAAGTCGACCCTACAGAGCATGAACAAAGAGCATGGGCTTCCAACTGCTGGTACTCGTGGTGACCTAATGTTGCAACTGCGGGAGCATTGGCAAGGTCAGTGTGAACTAGCCAGAGATGCTTTTTTGGCTGAGACAAGTGCCTCATCGGAGGAATTTCCAAAGGGTGGAACTGACTCAGCTTGTGGGGCGCAAGCTGTGGATGGGGCTAGTGTCGCTAGTGTGTCTACGTGGTCGGTGGTTGATAATGAGCCACCAGTTGAGCCACCCAATCTCGATGATGCCAAATCCAAAATCATGTCTGCACAGAATCTTCTTTCTAGTGTCGTGCATGCCATGAGCTTTCTCAAACAGTAGAGAGCTTCGTTCTATAGGAAGAACCAAGCACAGGATTGCGGTGCATAATTACCATGCAAGAAAAAAGGGAGAGGCAGCCTTCCGATTTCACATGTTACTGCTTGAAAGAAATGTTTCTGTTTCAGTTTCACTCACAGTTTCTACCTGGCTCTCTGAAGGCTCTCTTTCAGATTCTACCGGCTAGTTTCAGTACAAACCCGTCTCCGAGGCTTCCACCAATCCCCGTCTCGCCGTCTCCAAGGATTCCCTTGATTCCTTTGACTGAGCCCCCAAACTCTGGCACGCTCAGGCCAAGCAGTGCCAATCATCAGCAGGCGGACCTGCTCCGCTGGGCAGAGTGCAGGGCAGATCAAGGAGTGTCAAAGTGTGGTTCACACAAACATACACAAACCGTCTGTTCAAAATAGTCTATGCAACAGTGTCCAAATCTAAATTCAGTGCCCTAATTTTTCTGGGAACATGTAGTTGCCGGGGATTTGGGGGGAAATCGATGCACATGCCCGGAACCTTTAGGGAAAATCGATGCACCTACCCGGAACATTCAGAGGAAATCGATGCACTTGCCCGGAACTTTTGAGGAAAATCGATGCACTTGCCCGCAACTTTCGAGGAAAATCGATGCACTTGCCCGGAACTTTCGAGGAAAA